TGGTGAGCAAGAGAGCCCATGGGCAGATGGGACTGGCCCCAGTGTGGGTGCTTGGGGAGCAGAGAATGAGGGCAGACCTGAGAGTAAGAAATGAGGACCTTTTAGGGATGTGTTGGGCCCACAGCTTATGGGCAATGGGGAGCCACAGAAGGTTATTGAGCAGGGGAGTGGCTTTTAAAGGCAGCACTTCAGTAAGTTCTCAGTCAAGCCCCATTATGGCTCTTAATTGATAAGACTGGAGGTAGGGAGACAACTCTCAACTCAGAAACTATCATTCTTTCTGAGCACCTTGGAGTAAGTCTCTGGGTTCCAGTTGCTGTTGGCTTGGGTGGCAGGGAGGGGCACAGTAGTCAGGGGAAAGGGAGAGGCAGCTGTTCATCTGCTCTGGAGCAGTGACCTGGAGGGGCTAAGAAAGCAGAACTTGGGGTTGGATCTGAAGACACACAGAGGGCTTTCTGGTGAATGCCACCAAGTAAGGACATTCCTGGCTAGAGTGTGAGCTGTAAACGTGAGCTCCTGGCTCCCAGTGGCAGCTGCCCCAGGGGTCCTCGGCAGCCCTGCCCTCTCACTGGGTTGGCCAGCATAGCACATGGGGACACAAGGCTGGACTCTCAGCAGGCTGTGAGGCTGAGACTCCCTGAAGTCCTTAGGAGACCCCAGTGTGTTTGACCAACACAGAAGACACCACGCTCTTAGGCACCAGAACTAGTGCGAGAATCTGCTATGGGCCACCTGCTCCAGTTTCTCCACCTGGCTTCCTTCATCTCAGCAGGTAAGCTTTGCTGGCCTTGCTCGTTTCACAGGGCCCACTTTGGTGAGTCCAACTCTTGCTGGCTCATCATCCTGGACTGTGCCTGGTCACAGGTTTGTCCACTGAGGTTGAAGTGCAGACACAAGGAGGCGGTGGCAGAAAGCAATGACCCTCCTTGGGGCATCCAGAGGGACTGTGTTGCTGGGGTCAGGGTAGGGTTTGGGGGCCTATCTAGGGGCACCTTATATGGGGCAACTCTCAGGGCTCTGTGGTGACTCCAGGCCTGCATTACTCTACTGTCTGTCTGTTCCTCCCTCAGTCCTGGCCTCATGGAGCGTCTCCAGTCCCAACACCGTGGAGGGCGTGAAGGGGTCCTGTCTCATCATCCCCTGCGTCTTCAGTTTCCCTGACAACGTGGAAGTACCCCACGGCATCACAACCATCTGGTACTATGACTACTCGGGAAATCGGCAGGTGGTTCACCACTCAGGGGACCCCAAGCTGGTGGAGGAACGCTTCCGCACCCGCACCCAGCTGCTGGGGAACCCCAAGCACAGGGAGTGCAACCTGCTCCTGAAGGACCTGAGCCCCCAGGACTCGGGCTCCTACAATTTTCGCTTTGAGATCAGTGAGGTCAATCGCTGGTTAGATGTCAAAGGCACTGCAGTCACTGTGGCAGGTGAGGAGCAGTGCGGCCTGTCTACTTCTTAGAAGGGACTGTCAAGCTGCTTCTGGCCCAACCTTTGTCCTAAGCCTAGCCCAGCCCTAGCCTAGCCCCAGCCCTGTGTCCTCCATGCATTAACTCAAATGGGGGTGGGGATAGAAAGCAACCTCTCCTTCTTCTTGAAGCCCCCTGCCCCCAGCTGGGGTTTGCAGGGCAGGAGATCTCAAGTATGGCGAAGGGGAATCCTGACCCTTCTGTCTTTGTCCTCAGAGAACCCCAAAGCGCCCACCATTGCCTCGCCATTAGGGCTTCGTGAGGACATGGAAGCGGACTTCAATTGCTCCATTCCCTACGCATGCCCACAGGAGCTGATCAGCTTGCAGTGGCAAGGCCAAGACCCCACTCGCTCAGTCACCTCCAGCCTCCAGAAGCTCGAGCCCACAGGCATCAGCCACTTGGAGAAACTCCACTTGGCCCTGTCCTGGCAGGACCACGGCCAGACCCTGCACTGCCAGCTCTCAGTGGCTAAATTTAAGACACAGGGCGAGATTCACCTCCAAGTGCAGCGTGAGTGTGCTGGGTGCCACACCCTAGTTACTGAGCACACATCTGTGGCTCCCCGATGGAAACCAGTCCCTCTCCAGCCTGTAGCAACACAGACCTAGTTCCTGAGGCAAAGCTGGGTATACTCGGACCTCTGGGGTGGGGCAGGTGGAGAGAGACTGCCAACCATTAAGAGCCACGTTTAATGGCTTCCTTTTACTTCTTGTCCCTGAGGTCAGGCTGGTCACAGGAGGGGAGACATAAAGAGCCAAAGAGTTGGGGGTCAGGCAGCAAAGACCCTGAGATTTAGTCCAGCTCTGGAGGATGTTGGGAAGGGGACCCCTTTTTCTGCCTAAGACTGCTCTCATTCACCTTGATCAGGGTAACACCCAGACAAGGCAAAGAGGCCGTGGGAGAAAGCCTGAGTTTCCACTTGATCGACCATATTTTCGTCACGGTAAAACAGGGAGGCCTCTTCTAGAACAATCGCTGATCACAGGCATCTGGTGGCTGGCTCCACCATCCACTAGGTGAACAACCTGGGCAAGTCACTCGCATCGCAGGGCCTCTGTTTTCTCATCTGTATGGGGAAGAGGCCACCTATAGTATTGTTAAATAAATACTAGTTCTTATCTCATAGAATTGTTACAAAATTAGAGGAGTGCTCGGCACATACTAAGCACTCAAAAATATTAGCGTCTACCATTTTCATGTTTACATAGATTAAGCACTTGAAAATATTAGCTTTCATTAGCATATTTACATAGCAAGAGGCTTTGGAACAAGATTTAAAGAAATGTAGTTTCTTTGTATTGTTGACGCCCTCCTTACAAGTAGGCTAACCATTCTTAGAGCTCATTGATTCTGCCTTTGGCCCGGTCCATTAGGTGGTTGGTCCTTTACCAACAGCTACCAGTGGCTGTACCAGAACAAGCAGTGTGGTACTCAGACCCCTAAACAGAATAGAGGGCAATGGATAGTGTCATGAGGCAGAAAGCCCTAGAAGGCAGTGTGAGCTGGACACTAGGCCAAACATTTCATCATCAAGTTCTCAGTGAAGAAGGAAGGAATCAGAAAGTCATCACAAGGTGGGGACATCGCAGTCGTAGACCGGGGAACTAAGAGGACTGATGACTTACCTGGGTGGACTTCCTTAAGGCCAAGGTGAGAAGTGTGCCACCCCATGCTCACTCTGGCACCTTACCTGACAACCCCCATTGTGCCTTGCAGATGCCCCCAAGGGGGTGGAGATCCTCCTCAGCCCCTCGAAGGGGAACATTCGTCCAGGTGATCTGGTCACACTCACCTGCCTGGTGAACAGCAGCTACCCCGAGGTCAATTCCATGCAGTGGGTCAAGGATGGGACACGCCTCAAAACCCAGAGTCCTGTGCTACGGTTGTCCCAGGCAGCCTGGGACGATGCTGGCATCTACACCTGCCAAGCTGAGAATAGTGTGGGCTCCTCAGTCTCACTCCCTGTCAGTCTGCACATCTTCAGTGAGTCCTGGATGAGCCTGGGTCTTGACTAGAGGGCAAGGATGGGGTCCTGGCCACTAGGGCAGAGGGGAGCCAGGCCAAAGCGCCTCCTGGGACGCAGGTAAGGAGTCCCAACCTGGCCTCACACAGATGACAAACCTCCCTGGCAGGGTGGGATGTCAGGAGGATCCTGGTGAACAAGGCTAAGAGGGTCAGGGCCAGTCTAGGATGCTCCTCTGCAGAAGGGATGTGGTATAGACTGTTCAGAGATTTAGGCTGAGAAGATACAATCCTGAAACTCTGAGAGATTGGGCCTGGAAGTCGGCTGGGTACCCCCAGTGTGCCCTATGCTGTCCCCGCAGTGGCTGAGGTCCAGGTGAGCCCAGCAGGTCCCATCCAGGAGAACCAGACGGTGACGCTGGCCTGCAACATGCCTAAAGAAGCACCCAGTGAGCTGCGCTACAGCTGGTACAAGAACCATGCCCTGCTGGAGGACGTCCACAGCCGTACCCTCCAGCTGCACGCAGCCACCAGGGCCGACACTGGCTTCTATTTCTGTGAGGTGCAGAATGCCCATGGCAGAGAGCGCTCTGGGCCCGTCAGCGTGGTGGTCATCCGTAAGTGGCCAGTGTGGGGTGGACGCTGCCGGAGCTGGGCCAAAGGGTAGAGCCCTTGCCAGAGAGTTAGGGTCCTGGGCCCGGGTGGCTTTGAGCTCTGCACACCTGAGCAGGGTTTTAACTTCCCTGGGCCTCTCAGTTCCCCACTATTTAAAAAGTTTATTTTGAAGAGTACAAAGAATTATCATATGCCTTTAACTTAGGATTCCCAATTTGTTAACATTTTGGTACATTTGCTTTTTCTCTTTTAAAATATATATTATGTGTATGTGTATATATACACACATGTACACATATACACATGTACACATATACATGCACATATAGGTGTGAATGCATGTACACACATTTTCTCTTCATAAAAACACATATGCGTATGCACTCTATTGGTATACATATACACATATATGTTATCTCTATCTATCATCTATCTATCTATGCATTTATAGCCCTAAAGTTGCAGACATGATGCCCTTTTACCACTTAGCTCCTCAGTGTGTATTTTATAAGTTCATTTTCATATATAACCACAGCACAGTGATCACAGTCAGGAAACTTAACATTGATACAAGACTATTATGTAATCTACACTCCATATTTAAATTTTACCAATTGACCCAAAAACGTCCTTTATGGCGATTGTTTGTTTGGTCCAGGATCTAATCCAGATCCTGCTTTGCATTCAGTTGCCATGGCTATTTACTACTTTTTAATCTGGGACAGTTCCTCAGTCTTTCCTTGTCTTTCTGACATTGAAACTTGAAGATTACAGGCCAGTTGTTGTGTGAATGTCCCCTGGTTTCTCTGAATCGAGGAGACCGAGCCTGTACGCTTGGGCAGGAACAACACACACGTGCTGCTGTGTCTGTCTCGCTGCATCGCGTCAGGAGACACGTGGGGTCAGAGTGTCCTGTTGCTGATAGTGCTCTCTCTCTTTGATTACTTGGTTGAGGTGCTATCCACTGCCAGGTCTCTTTGCCTATTTTCTCATCTTTAAAATAGGGTCCTTGATCCTCACTCGCAGGGTTGCAGTATGAGACAAAGGGGGTGCAGGGGTCATAGGCTATAAATGGGGATCCAGGGAGTGTCCCTGTCTGAGAGTGAGAGGACCTTCTCCACACAGACCCGCCCCTCACCCCAGACCTAACTGCCTTTCTGGAGACACAAGGAGGCCTGGTGGGCATCCTCCACTGTTCCGTGGTCAGCGAGCCTGTGGCCACCCTGGTGTTGTCACACGGAGGACTTGTCCTGGCCTCCACCTCTGGCGACGGTGACCACAGCCCACGCTTCAGTGTCTTCTCTGCCCCCAACTTCCTGCGCCTGGAGATACGAGATCTAGGGTCAGCCGACAGTGGGGAATACACCTGTACAGCCACCAACTCCTATGGGAATGTGTCCTCCACCCTGGACTTCCGTGCCAATGGTAAGATGGCTACTGGGGGCTGGTGGAGGAAGCTTGAGGAGGAGGCCTGCTCTGGCCTCTTCCTCCTAGGAGTCCAGAGGACTCGACTGAAGGGCTGAATTAGCCAGTTAGTAAAAATCACATCAAAGACCCGGGCTTTTTTATACAGTCATCCCAACCCAGGAGGCCCCTGGAGATCAAGGCAAAAAGGGAAACATGGCAGGTTGTATCATTCCTTTTGTAAACATTCTGACTCTGAACTTGGAGGGTTCTTCATATGCATTCATTTGCTTTCTATTTATCAAGCATTTGGAGCAGGCTCTGTGCTGGGAGTCAGACGCAGGAGGCACAACAGAGGAGTAGGGTCTTCCCACTCTTGGTGCATGTGCTGCCCTTCTCTTATTCTGAGGCTGTGGCAAACACAGTTAATTAATCAAGCCAGGTTTTTGACATAAGCCTGGTTCCAGCTCAAAATTCTCCTCAACCATGCTATGTCCATCTACTATGAATAGATCAGAATTGGAGTTCAAGGCCAAACCCTCCTGATCATCAAGAGATTTACAGAGCCAATGGCATGAAACCCAGACTTATCTACAATTGTGTAGGAAGAGTGTGATGCTGGAGGGCTTCCTGCGGTGGGTAGCATGGAGCCACGAATGTGCGGGGGAGCTGAGCCTTTCTTTCTTCCTCTTCTGCCAGCTGCCCGCCTCCTCATCAGCCCCGCAGCAGAGGTGGTAGAAGGGCAGGCAGTGACGCTCAGCTGCAGGAGTGGCCTGAGCCCAACGCCTGACATCCGCTTCTCCTGGTACCTGAATGGAGCTCTGCTTTTCGAGGGGCCCAGCAGCAGCCTCCTGCTCCCTGCAGTCACCAGCAGTGATGCCGGTTCATACCACTGTCGGGCCCAGGATGGCCACAGGACTAGCGGGCCCTCCTCACCCGCCGTCCTCACTGTGCTCTGTGAGCAGCCTCCCCGCCAGCCCCTGCCTGCCTTGGGAAGGATCAGTCCACTGGGGTCCACTAGCTATCCCTACCTCCTCCAGGGCCACCTGACCCTGTCCTGCCCAGGGTCTAGATCAGGAGGGCTGCTGCAGATCTGGGCACCATGGATCTCTCCATCCAGGGCTGAAATTTGGGGGACAAGGCTGAGGATTTCTCTACCTCCTCAACCTCTAATGCCAGTCCCTTTAGGGCCTCCTGGCCCTAGCCTCAAACTTGCCATGGGCACCATGTCCAAGTTCTGTTCTCCTGAGCTGGGCCCTGAGACACCACAGTCCTATACATGCGCACACACGCCCCATGGGCTATGCCCTCACAGGCTCTGGAGACACAGAGGTAGAACCTCTCCACATAAGAACTTCGTCCTCTTGTGAGTGATGCTTCATATTAGCCCAAGGGGCGGACCAATGTTCAAGGAACACTTAGCTTCCAGAAAGCCTCCCCTGACATGCGCAAGGGCAATGTCTTGGGACTGTCAGGAAGAACAATTGCCTTTCAGGGGTTTTCTAGTGTCAGGGAGAGATCACATGGGGCCTTGGTTGATGAATGTCTTTGACCATCCATCTCCAGAAGCCTCTAGAAAGAGGGCATTTTAGGCATTCTCTATCATCGTGGGAGCTGGCTTGGAGATCAGAGATATGAGGCAGAGAGGATCTTGGGAAAGGGATGGAGTGCAGAGTGGGAGCAGAGAGCGAGACTCACGAAGATTGCCTATGTGGGCGCCCTGCTCAGGAGCACATGGGTGTTAGGCAAGCAACTGCTAGCCCACATGGCACCTTTATCCAAGCTAGAAAATGGCACTCCTCCCTCTGGGAAAACTCAGTCCAGCACTAGGGCATAGCTTAGCACGAGGGGCATGGGCTGAATTCTTCCCACTCTGGCCTGGTTGTCCTTGTGCAATGCACAGCCTGCACAGCTGTTTGCAGCAGCTCTGGGCACATGCCTTTGTCCAATGTGTTCTGGGAGTCTAGCCAGCCTTGAGTGAACCTATGAGGCCCTGGCAGAGGCTGTGGATGAGTGCCCATGCTCTTCCTCTCTTCAGATGCCCCGCGCCAGCCCAAGCTCACTGCCCGGCTGGATCCTGATGCTGCAGATGGAGCTGGCCGTAGAGGCTTTCTCGAATGCCGTGTGGACAGTGACCCACCAGCCCAGCTGCAGCTGCTCCACAGGGACCGTGTAGTAGCTTCTTCCCTGCCATCAGGGGTTGGCTGCAGCACCTGTGGGGGCTGTCCCCAGCGCATGAAGGTCGACAGAGCCCCCAACTTGCTGCGTGTTGTGATTAGAGACCCGGTGCTGGAGGATGAGGGTGTGTACCTGTGTGATGCCAGAAACACCCTGGGCAATGCCTCCTCCTCGGTGACCTTCAATGCCCATGGTGAGTCAGGACAGGGAATGGTGGCACAGGGGCAGGGGCCACTACTCAGGACCCTATTTCTTTGCAACCCCTGGCTCTAGGAGAATCTATCCAGTGAAACCACTTTGTTCAGCAGTGGATGTTCGCTTTCCTCCCCTACCCAGGGGGCACTCCAGAGGGTCACTTTCCTGCCCCCTCCAGGCTGGGAGGCTGAACCATTGGACCTGGGTTGGGGGAAAGCAGTCAAAGTGAGGCCTGTCTCAAGTGAACCTGTGCTGCCTGCTTTCCAGCCACTGTCCTGGTCATCACACCATCACACACGCTGCCCGAGGGCACTGGAGCCAACTTGACTTGCAATGTGAGCCGGGAAGCCGACAGTGGCCCTGCCAACTTCTCCTGGTTCCGGAATGGGGCACTGTGGGCTCAGGGCCCCCTGGAAACCGTGACGCTCTTACCTGTGGCCAGAACAGATGCTGCCCTCTATGCCTGCCGCATGTTCTCTGAGGCTGGTGCCCAGCTCTCCGCTCCTGTGGTCCTGAGTGTGCTCTGTGGGTGATGGGCAAGGGCAGTGTTAGGCACTTGAGGGCACTCAGGGGGTGGTCTGGGAGGAACCAGGCTGGGTTTGGGTTGCGGGAGACAAGTATGTGGCTTGGGCATGGGATAGGGCAGGCCTGGACTATGTGTGTGGAGCAGGCAGTGGGACATAGTGTGGCAGCTGGAATGTGGTGAGCTGGGTTCAGGATGGAGCCTGAGCTCCCTACTGTCCCTGCAGATCCCCCAGACACTCCAAAACTGTCAGCCCTCCTGGACGTGGGCCAGGGACACATGGCTGTGTTTGTCTGCACTGTGGACAGTAGCCCCCTGGCGCAGCTGGCCCTGTTCCATGGGGAGCGCCTCCTGGCCACCAGCATGGGGCCCCAGCTCTCGTCCCAGGGCCGTCTTCGAGCCAAAGCCATGGCCAACTCTCTGCAGCTGGAAGTCCGAGACCTGAGCCTTGGGGACTCTGGCAGCTACCGCTGTGAGGCCACAAATGTCCTTGGATCAGCCAATACCTCCCTTTTCTTCCAGGTCCGAGGTGAGTGTCGGTCCCTCTAAAGATACGGTAGACCCAGATGCCTTGGGGGCTACTTTGGCCAGGTTTTGGGCTGGGTCATATGGAAATGTGAGTTCTTTTTCAGCCATGGTTTGGGGACAGTTTCCAGCCAGCCAGCAGGAGGCCTCTCCTTGTCTCCAGCTATATATTTTCACCTGTAATAACTGTGGCAGCCACTAGGAGGCAGTGGTATTTGTTCAAGGCAGCTTGCTTGGTTGGAGCAATTTCTGACATATAACTTTTTTTGTAATAATATAATTTTGTTAGTAAGAATTCTCATACTAAACCTAATATATGTACATTATGCATATGCATGTGTAATATATGTACACGAATGTGTGTATATACACACATATATGCATATATACACATATATAAGAATATATTCATATTCTTCATTAATATACATAGTCATACATATATATATATATTCATCTATAAAAATCCTCCCTCTGTGAATAAGCCAGGAAAAGGGAAAGTTAATATCCACAATGCTGCAAAGGCCAAAGAAAAGCACACAATTTTTCTCCCATAATGACAAACGTTAATTTTTGAACATTTTCGTTGAGCCTCGGTTCTATAGATCTTTTATTTATCATAAGAATATCACAGGCAGAGAAATTGAGGGTCAGAGCTTTAGGAGCTTGTTCATGATCACATCACATGACTAGCAGGTGGCCCTGGTCCCAGACATAGCCTGTGTTCTCAATCACCGTTCCAGCTGTCCCTCACCGTTCCAGCTGTCCCCCGCCCCCACGCCCCCCATCTTGGTCTCCTCCTGCCTCAGACCCAGGAGGAACTAGGGACTGCCCTTTGCCCAGTCCACAGTTCCTGGTCTCTCATGACCTGGAGCCTGGGTGCAGAGATGGACTGGAAATAGTTGGAGAGAACTCAAGATCACACAGCTGCTAACTTCCGCTTCCAAGCCCTTGGCCAGCCATGCTGAGTCCAGCTCATAATCAGGACAATGGCCCTTGGCATGACCTAAATCTCTCCCATTTTAGTGCTTTATAGGGTCAAACTAACATTTGTCAAGAGCTAACACATGCAGGTGCTGCGCCTGGCACTGGGCTGCAAATCAGACAAACCAGGCCCTCAAGAGGTTCACCCGCTGGTAAGCAAGAAGTGATTGGCAGAGCAAAACCATAACTCAAGGTGGCAGTTGGTGACTGCCAAGACAGACCCATGCCAGGTAGTCAGGGGCAGGAGAGGTGGAGGCGTGGAGTCGAATTCGGCAGTGGTCTGGTGGGGGAGCCGTAGCTCCGGGTCACAGGGCTTGGGCCATGCTGTTCTGGTGTGGACGCATACCCAGCCCCAGATGTGGGAGGGTATGGCGGAGGGCCCTCACTTGCTCTTGGTTTCTCCCTGCAGGAGCCTGGGTCCAGGTCTCACCATCGCCTGAGCTCCAGGAGGGCCAGGCCGTGGTCCTGAGCTGTGAGGTACCCACGGAGGCCCTAGAGGGGATCTCATATCGCTGGTATAGGGATGGCCAACCCCTCCAGGATTCGACCTCGGCCACACTTCGTTTTGCAGCCATAACTTTGAACCAGGCTGGGGCCTACCACTGCCAAGCCCAGGCTCCAGGCTCAGCCAGCACAAGCCTGGCCGCCCCTGTCAGCCTCCACGTGTCCTGTAAGTGTTTTCATCCCGTGCATGTTTCTTGGAGGGTAATGGAGCCAAGAGCATGGCTGAGGGAGGGGATGCTGAGCCCCTGGTTTTGGGCTCTGCCTCCATGAGAGAACTTCAGATGAGGGATCACCTGGCCAGACTCTGACCAGTCCCTGCTCATGTAGATGCCCCACGCCAGGCCATGCTCACCACCCTGATGGACACCGGCCCCGGGCGACTGGGCCTCCTCCTGTGCCGTGTGAACAGTGACCCTCAGGCCCAGCTACGACTGCTCCATGGGGAGCGCCTGGTGGCCTCCACTCTACAAGATCAGGGGGAACTTGCAGGCAGTTCTCCCCGGCTACAGGTGGCTGTGGCCCCCAACATACTGCGCCTGGAGATCCACAATGCAGTGCTGGAGGATGAGGGTGTCTACACCTGCGAGGCCACCAACACCCTGGGCCAGACCTCAGCCTCGGCCAGTTTCGATGCCCACGGTCAGTGTGGGTGTGTGAGTATGTGCGTGGGTGGCTCTTTTAAGAAGGAAGAAGGTTGGAGAGGGTTCTGGAAGCCTGAGGTACAGGCAAAAGGGCTGAACATAAGGACGGTCCCCATTTCCACCCTTCTTAAGGGCAGCGGTCTCTAAACTTGGGTTTCATGGAAGAACCTTTATTAAAAACAGAATTTGCATGGCTGCCCAGTGGATAAAACTAATCAGAAAGGGAATGTTCGAGGAGAAACCACAACAGGGCCAGGGAGGCTGTATCCTCCTGTGTGCCCCGTATCCTCCTGTGTGGCCCCCAGCTAGGGTCAGGGAGGGTTCTGCAGAATTCTGCTTGGGAACACCTGAGAGTTGATGAGCTGTTTCCCAAGCTCCACCTCTGAGCCACATGTACAGGTGGGCCACCTGTACATGAGGGACTTCCCTCCCTCATGGAGACAGGTGGCTTGTTTTACATAGCTTCATGTTGTCCTTCTCTCCCCAGCCGTGAGTGTGCAGGTGTGGCCCAAGGACACCGTGCAGGAGGGGCAGCTGGTGAATCTGACCTGTGTTGCGTGGAGCGCCCGCCCAGCCCAGCTCACCTACATGTGGTACCAGGATGGGAAGCAGCGCCCAGGTGCCCACTCCATTGCCCTGCCCAATGTTACAGTCACGGATGCTGCCTCCTACCACTGTGGTGTGGTGGTCCCTGGCCAGGCACTCCGCCTCTCCAGACCTGTCACCCTGGATGTCCTCTGTGAGTGTGGTTGGCTGCAGGGTGGAGCTGGAAGGCATGACAGCAGCCTGCAGGGATCAGGGCATGGCCAGAGCCCCATAGGTGTCCAACCCAGAAACCTAGTACACAAACTCCTCTGGCTGATGGAGCACCACACAAGGAGCATTAGAGTTGGGGGGCTACGGGGATACATCCTCTTTGAGTAGAGCAGCCGTGCCCCAGATTGGGCAAGTGGAGGTCCTTGGGGTGGGGAGCCAGATCCCTCCTGGTTTGAATGTCACCTGCAAACGGGCCTCCTCATGGCTGTGGTCTCTCAATAACATCTATGCCTTTCATGCTCCTGCAGATGCACCCCGCAGCCTACGCCTGACCTACCTCTTGGAAAGCCATGGCGGGCGGCTGGCCCTGCTGCTGTGCACTGTGGACAGCCGCCCACCTGCCCAGCTGGCCCTTAGCCATGCTGGCCGCCTCCTGGCCTCCTCAACCGCAGCCTCTGTACCCAACACCCTGCGCCTGGAGCTGTGGGAGCCCCGGCCCAGTGATGAGGGTCTCTATAGCTGCTCTGCCCGCAGTCCTCTGGGCCAGGCCAACACGTCTCTGGAATTGCAGCTGGAGGGTGAGGCAGGGCCCAAGTCAAGGCCACCAGGTGTGGGATCAGCCGTGGTGTCTGGATGGATCCAGTTGACCCAGGCCTTCTTGGCACAGGTGTGCAGGTGATCCTGGCTCCGTCAGCTGATGTACCCGAAGGGGCTTCCATCACAGTGACCTGTGAAGACCCTGCTGCCAGCCCACCCACCCTCTATACCTGGTATCACAACAGCCGTTGGCTGCAGGAAGGGCCAGCTGCCTCCCTCTCTTTCCCAGTGGCTACGCGGGCTCATGCGGGGGCCTACTCCTGCCAGGTCCAGGATGCCCAGGGCACACGCAGCTCCCGGCCTGCAGCCCTGCAAGTCCTCTGTGAGCAGAGATCCCTGGCTGGGAGCATCCGGGGTGGTGGAGGGCCCTTCTGAGCCCTGGTGGGCGTGGGCACAGGACTACAGGGGGCTGAGGAATGGGCACTTGGGGAAAGAAGGACATAGGTGATGAAGAAAGAGACCCTGGGTCCTTGGGAACCCTGCCTGGAGGAATCTACCCACAGGACTCCTGAGAGGGTGGCACTTCTAGGATGTGACTATTTGTCCAGAGGCTTGAGCCTCACCAATACCAGAAGGGTGGACAATGGACAATATAGGGTTTCCAAGCAAAGCCTTTAACTATGCCCTGCCCTACCCCAGATGCCCCTCGGGATGCTGTTCTGTCCTCCTTCTGGGACTCGAGAGCCAGCCCCATGGCTGTGGTGCAGTGCACTGTGGACAGTGAGCCACCTGCCGAGCTGACCCTGTCCCACGATGGCAAGGTGCTGGCTACGAGCCGCGGGGTCCATGGCTTGACACTGGGGACAGGCCATGTCCAGGTGGCCCGCAACGCCCTGCGGCTGCAGGTGCAAGATGTGCCCTCAGGTGATGAGGACACCTACGTCTGCACGGCCCACAACTTTCTGGGATCAGTCAGCACCACAGGACAGCTACAGGCAGAAGGTGAGCAGGTGAGGGGAGAGGAGAAGGGCCTCAGGTGCTGTGGGGTTGGAGTTCGTGTCAAGAGGGGCTGGCTGGCCTGGAGTGATAGACATAGCCCTTGCACAATCTGATGGAAGAGGAACAGCTCCCACTGCAGGGGGTTGCCTCTCGGATCCCACTCAGATTCTACCCAGAGGCTCCAGCTCCCAAAGGCCTGCAGGTTCCCCACCACCTCCTGGTCCTCGGCCTGCAGGTGTGCGTGTCGTGGCCGAGCCAGGCCTGGATGTGCCTGAGGGTGAGGCGTTGAACCTGAGTTGTCACCTTCCTGGTGGCCCCAGGCCCTTGGGCAACTCCACCTTTGCTTGGTTCTGGAATGGCCGGCAACTACATTCGGAGCCCGTGCCCACCCTTGCCTTCTCACATGTGGCCCGTGCCCAAGCTGGGATGTACCACTGCCGGGCTGAGCTTCCCACTGGGGCCACCACCTCTGCTCCAGTCATGCTTCGTGTGCTCTGTGAGTGACACCACCTTAATCTCCCCATATCTTACATGCTCACCTCAGGTCTTTCTCTTCTTATGTCTGCAAAGAGTAAGGACTTCAGAGGTATGGAGTTTTGGGTTGGAAGATCCCCACTGATGGACGGCTTGGTTTCTTCATCTGCAAAGCATCAGTCCCCTTGCCTTGTGAGACATATAGACGATGAAGTACACAGAGTGCCTGATACATAATAGGTCTTCATCAGTCTTGGTCCCCCACTCCATTTTTCACCAGGGCCCAATGCTGTATCAGCCAGCTATTGATGCATAACAAGTCAGCCCAAAACTTAATACTTAAAATGACAACCATTTTATTTGCTCATAATTCTGTGCATCAGAAATTTGGGCTGGGATCAGCTGGGCAGTTCTTCCGTTGGTCTCCCTTCATGTGGCTATTGTTGTCCAGTGACTGAACTGAAGCTAGACAGTCTAGGATGGCTTCACCCTCGTGGCTGGTTGTCGAGGCTGGCTATTGGCTGGGCCACATGTGTCCAGCAGGCTGGCCTGGGCTTCCCACATGGTTGTCTAGCCCTGAAGTTACACAATGTCACTTCTCTGACTTCTAGTGGTCAAAGAGAGTCACAGATTCAAGGAGTGAGGACATAGGCTCTTAATGGGAGGAGCTGCAAAGTCACATTACATGGTTAGGGAAGGGGAGGAATTTGTGGTTGTTTTCTACAATTACCATACTTCTTGTCTTCCTACAGACCCTCCCAAGACGCCCACCATGACGGTCTTTGTGGAGCCTGAGGGTGGCGTCCAGGGCATCCTGGACTGCCGAGTGGACAGCCAGCCCATAGCCAGCTTGACCCTTCATCTTGGCAATCGGCTGTTGGCCTCCAGTCAGCCTCGGGGTGTTCCAGCTGAGCCGCACATCCACATCTCAGCCACCCCCAATGCCTTGAGGGTGGACATTGAGGAGCTAAGGCCCAGTGACCAGGGGGAATACGTGTGCTCTGCCTCCAATGCCTTGGGCTCTGCCTCTGCCTCCATGTACTTTGGAACCAGAGGTGAGGAAGGACTCCATCTCCCAGGCTGCTCTGCACAAGGCCCTGCCCTCAGGTCCAAAGGATTATTCTGAGGTCTTCCCTAAATCCCTTCAGAGGCAATTAGTTTGTCTGTCTAGTCCAGAGTGGTTTCTTGAAGCTCTTTTGCATGGGGAAGCCCCTGAGATAAAGTGAAAGCTAGAAAAAAATTTCATCTTGGGCGGGTGCCTTGGGAAGGAGCATTGTAGGCCTGGAGCCATAGCTGCTCCCTAATCTATACTCTGTGTTCTAGCCCTGAGCCGCCTGCATCTGTTCCAGAAGCTACTCTGGGTCCTAGGGCTCGTGGCGGGCCTTCTCTTCCTCCTGTTGGGCCTGGGGGCCTGCTACACCTGGAGGTGGGTCAGGAGCTGGAGGGCAGATGGAGCCATTTCTTCCTTTTCTCTTTTCCCCAATATTCCCTGTGTCCCTCCTGCCAAATTCACAGGCTCCATACTTTCTAGCCTGTCTCCTTCCCTCCCACATTCCAAATTTGGGAATCCCTTCTAGAATCATCTCTAAATCCATCTTGCTGTAGTTTTTTTTCCTTTCTTTATCTCTACCATTTTTATGCTGAAGAAACGGCTGGGGAGGAAGCAAGGTAAGGTACCCCCACTCCCCACAGCGCTTCCCACTGCTCAGTGCAGTGAGCGGTCTGGGCAAAAGCATGTGGGGTGGGAGAAGGGAATGGGGGCAGGCAGGGAGGGGGAGCCTCTCTGACTCTACTCTCGCCCTTGTAGAAGGAGGCATTTTCATAAGCTGAGTGTGGGTGAGACTTCCGTGGAGATGGCGTCCCAGAAGGACACCATGCAGGTATCTATTCCCCATGCAGGCCCGCGCAGACATAATGCTAGGCTACCCCACAGCGCAGGGCTGGCCCTTAGAGGCTGCTCTCATTTATAGGCTGGTACCTGGGGCTCGGGGGAAACTGGGGAGAGAATATAGAGAACCAGGGCCCCTTGAGAATACAAGGGGAGCCACATTCTGACTGGAACAGAGAGAAGCCATGTGTTTGCCATGTGGCTGGCTAGATTCAGAGCTTAGCCACAACACCTCTATTTCCAAGACACATCTCAGAACACAGAACCCCACCTATGTTTTGGGGTCTGTCTTCCCCACTGCTGAGTCTGTCCATCATGTGGGCAGGGGTGAAAGCGTGTTTCCCTTCCCTGGTGATGGGCCCCCTTCTACAGATGATCCATTTGGTGGGCCAGGCATGCACATTCTCACCAATCTCCTTGGGACCCTTACCCAGGGCTGGGGACCTGGGGGGACTGCCCTCCAGAGTTAGGGTTCAGGTGATGTCTGCTCCCAGAATCCTCCTGTGACCAAGGTTTTCTTTGTGGGAAGCTCATTGATCCTGACACAACCACATTTGGAACTTCATCCTGTGCTCCGCCTCTGAGCTGACCTGTGGCATTGCCTGCCCTCAGGAGGAGGAGGTTACTGGAATCTGTGATGGCTTGGGCCTCGTAAACAAGACGGCGCTGGATCCTGCCTGCCTCTGTGAAAACAGTTCTGTGACATCTGACTTTCTATGACATGGTTCCAAACCTCTTTCCCCCAAGAAAAATGTGTGGTGAGAGGAGGGGGTGAATCTCAATCTACCCAGGAGAGTATTGACCCTGGGGGATGCTGAAGAGAAATAAGTTGATCTCTCTCACTTTTCTCTGGATCTCATCTCTCCATTTATCTTCCAATGCACTGCCTTTCACATCTCTCTCCTCCAAACCTACCCTGGACTTTTTGGACAGATTAGAAGAGGAACCTTCTATATCGTCAGGGGCTGGTCAAGGCACTCTGTACTAGATAGAATATAAGTCGGGCTGCCTAACAAGAGACCAAATACAGTAACTTTAACATAAGAAAATTTTATTTTTCTCTGCCATATTAGTCTGGGTATGTTATGGTGGTTTAAGGTATCGGAGCTCTGGATCCCTTTATCTTATTTTTATCCATCCCTAAAATGTTGCCTTTGATTATGAGGTTCACAATGACCCCACCGTGTTCACATTTTCTCCAGCAAGAAGAGTGGAAGTTGAAGGTACACCCATTCCCATTGTGGACACAATCCAGAAGTTGTACATGGCATATCCACTGCTCATTGGCTAGAGTTTAGTCACATGGCCACTCCGAAGCTGCAAGGGATTCTGGGAAATGTAGTTTTTAATTCCACTTCCAAAGAACTCCCCACTATGGACTCAACCTTGAGACATTTGACATTGATGAGAATGTAGCCAGAAAGCTGCAAGGGATTCCGGGAAATGTAGTTTTTATTCCACTTCCAAAGAACTCCCCACTATGGACTCATCCTTGAGACATTTGACATTGATGAGAATGTAGCCAGCAGGACATGTTCTGTCTCAGTGCCCATCCACTGAGGGGCATGCCCTGGTCATGGGCTTGCTGGAGGAGGTAGTTCCTCTCACACATTAAGACTGAGGACATCAAGAAGGTTTGGTGGTCCCTAGAGAGAGGGCATGCCAGGCAGTGGGGTTGCCCCTGGAAGAAGAGGGACCCTCATTCCTACCCCCCACCCCACCCCCACCAACGAAAAGTGTGGAGAGCAGACATAATGTCATCAGTATCTTTGTTTCTGTCTCAGGTGCATTTCTTTCCATGATCCAGTGAGTTCAGTTCCTCTTCTTGGAGGCTCGTACATCAGGGGCTGTTAAGATGAATGAGGGTCACTAAGGAAGAATAATGTGCTTCCAGGAAGTCAGAACCAATTCTTGGGTAGTCTAGTGAATCCCCTGGTGGTCTGGTGACAGATGGTTGGAGGAGCCTGCCACTCTAGGATTTAGGCTGAGAAATATGGGGAGTATAGGAGCTTATAGGTTGGGAAGAAATTTGAGGCCAGGTGAGCTCCATGGAGCCACGGCTGGGACCCTTCCTGGTCCCAGGTCCCATTCCTTTTAGTGCCTGATTGCCAGACTCTTCCTAGGAGCCCATCTGGCATGTCTTCCCAATAAACGATCACCCTATGACATAACTGGAGTGAGTCACTTTCTTGCAACCCAAACTGTTGGACTGGAAGCACAGAAGATTTAAATGCGAGGGGGGTTTATTCTGGGAGGCTGCCTGCAGAGGTGGCCAGTGAGTGCAAATAATATGCATTTACCATAGATTACCTATGATCAAGTAATTTGTTCCCCTTCCTGCTCCTTGAGGGTCTGGGGGGCTACTCACCTCCTCTGCCCACATGACCAGCACCATGCTTGGCATGCAGTAGGTGGGCACTTAGTAAGCCCTGGTTTTTCCATATTGCTGTCAAATGGGAGGGTGGAAAGTGTAGGATAAATCCAGAGGTGGAACACAGAGAGAGCAAGCCCAAAGCAGCCAATGTTTTGGGGCTGTCTGGGGAAGAGAGCTTGAGGCACAGACCACAGGTGGTCACAGAAGGGTTGGCGACTGGGAGATCTGGGAACATTCAACTTGAGAGTCTTTATCTGCTTCTGTATATCTCCAAGGAGGCATAGGTCCATCTGGGATTAGAGGGTTCTCAGAGGGGTTTGTTGTGTCTACCCCTATTGGTTTGAGGCGTGTCGAGAATTTAAAAATAAATTTTTGATTCAAGTGTAACACACATACAGAAAATTGCACCCATTAGAATTGTAGAGCTCAATGGCTTTTCAAAGCCAACACACCCCTGTAACCAGCACCCAGATCAAGAAACAGTCCATTATCAGCACTCCAGAGTCTCCCTTGTGACCCGCTCCCAGTCACAACCTCCGAAACGTAACTACTTTCCTGACTTCTCACACCGTAGATTTGATTTGCTTGGTTTTAAACTTTATACAAATGGAATCAAATCGTACAGAATATATGACAACTTGGGAAAACTGTTTAATTATCTATTAAAGCTAAAATATTCCTGCCCTATGACCCTGAAATTTTCCCTCGGTATTTACTCAAAAGGATTAAACGTTTCTGTACACTGTGAGATTGTACTAGAATGTTCACAGTAATGCTATTCATAATAGCCCCAAACCAGAAACAACAAATGCACATCAACAATAGAATGGATAAATGAATTGTGCTATGTTCACGCAGTGGAATATTATACAGCAATGAGAAGAAGCTACAAATACACATATTATAGCCAATTGGTCCCAAACATAATGTTGAGTGAAAGGAGTCAGATGCTAAACAGTGTAGACTGCATGATTCTATTCTCACGATGTTTAAGGACAGGCAAATCTAATCAATGGTGATGCAAGTCAAAATAGTGGTTACTTATGGGGGAAGGTTGTGATTGGGAGGGACCACAAAGGGACCTTCAGGGGGTGGAGTATATGCTGTTTCTTAGTCTGGGTGCAGGTTTTATGGGTATGTTCACTTTGTAAAATGCCATTGAGCTGGGTACTTAGAAAATGCACATTTTTCTAAAAATACACTTACTTAATTTTTTTTTTAAATCCCCCACCCATTATATTGGATGTCCAGGGCATTCTACCCAAGTTATAGTCGATTATACAATTTTTTTAAAGCACCTCCTTCACTTTTCAAAGGGACATCATTTTCCCCTTTAAATGCACATGACCCTTGACTACACCTTGGGGGCCCTGCATTCACACATGTGACTTTTCCTGATGCATCCAAGCATTGGCTTGTGACCTCTAGGTGCCACCTGGAACATCTCCATGGGCCAGAGTTGGCAGCGCCATCCTTGGACACCCTGTTCTGAGTCACTCTTCAGGATGAGCCCTGTTTACAGATGGTGGGTGTTGCCCATTACATTAGCACTTCAAAGATTTAACTCTCACTGGTTTGCCTTCTCTCCAAAACACTTCCTGATGCTCCTCTGGAGAGTGACACCAGCAAGGCATTTGATAAATCACCTTTCCCATGGCTTGTTATCAGGTATGAACACTGAGCTGATCAGTGGCACTTCTAGGATCCATCTTCCTCAACTTCGGTCCAACAGCCCCATCCCCTCCTTTGCAATTTCCAAATGTAAATAAACAGTTGCTCTGATTTTCAGCAGAAAATTCTTCTGCTGTGCTTGGACATAGCTCATCTAGGATTGAGAGCAGCCACTTGGCAAGGATGACTCCAATCCCCACACAGCTCTTAGGCTACATATCTCCCTCATTTTATCAGCACTAATTGTGTGCCAGGCCCTGTGCCAGGCAGTGAACAAAAGACAGTTCCAGACCCATGGAGCTCAGGGTCCGGGGGAAGAGAGACAAGGAAACGGGTAACTATAATGCTGTGTGAAATGCGGTGCAGTGAGAAGTATAGTTCAGGGAACAGTAACCAGGCTTTGGGGCCAGGAGGACTCCTCGACAAGGAGACAACAGATAAAGCCATGGTCTGCACTATGAGTAGGAGTTCACCAGTTGGCTGTATTCTTGCCAGAGGAGAAGTCTATGCTGATGTCCTGTCTTCTTCTCTTCCTGATGTCCACACTAAAGCCTCCTCCTCCACGTTCAGAGTCTGGTGGCTCTGAGGTCTGTGCTGCTTTCCTGGTCCCCAGCTTGTTTGGGGCTCGAACCACCTTCAAGTCCTCACCAGGCCCTGCCAGGACTCACATTTGATGTTGTCCTGTCCCTTTGATTTCTGGAGCTTTCTTAGTTGCCTCTCTTCTTCCTCTTCAGGACTGCTTTCTTTACCATGGTTGAAAGTTCTATCTTCATAATTTCCCCTTTCTCAGGATTTATATTCTCTTCTGGAATCTCCAGATGTGCTCCCGGTTCAAGATAGAAGCCTGAGTCTCTCTGTCCACCCCTGCTCTACCCTAAATCCTCCCCGAACAAAAGCACGGACAGAAAAATGGACACTGAATACAACAGGTTGCCTTGCTCTCTGCCCCCTGGCTCATCCAGCAGAAAGATCAGGGAATTCTGTCCTGGAGGGGTGGCCTCTGCTGCTGTTAGTACCATTGTGACCCCATTTAATCATCCACAGGGAGAGGGGTTGATGCCTCTTCAGCCTGTTTACACTGGAGCTCTCAGCGTGATTAAAGCCATCTATGTCTATATTAGGTTTTATTCCCAAGACAAGATTCATGTGCAAGTGATTTACTAAGAACATGCTCCCAGGGGAGACCAGTACAAGGGTGCGGGGAGCAAGACAGGCAAAGAGAAGAAGTTAGGGACACATGTAGTTGAATGTCCATAGCAGCAATTTTTGTAACATCTCAAAACTAGGAACCACCCAAATGTCTAGCAACAGTAGAATCAATGGGGGGAAAATGTGGTTACATTCACACAATTGAATACTACTCAGCAAAGAATATAAATGAACTAAAGCCTCGATACATCTCACAAACTGGGAAGAATATTTGCAACTCATACTGTATACAAAGAGTTAAATACCCTTGCATATAGAGTTCCTTCAAGTTAAGAGAGACTGACAAAATTTTAAAAAATGGGTTGTGGATATGAACAGGTAATTCAGGGAAAAGGAAATATAAATGGCTCATAAATGTTTAAACAAATATTCAAACTCACTTGTAAGAAAAATGCAAATAAAGACCACACTTTCACTTTCACACTAGCAAAAATCCATTTGATAACTATATTGAGTAAGGTTGTGGGAAAATGGGCACTCCAGATATTTCTGGTACAATTATAAACTGGCACAGATTGGAGGGCAATTTAACTGTATCTACACAAATCATAAACACACATATCCCTTGACCCAGTAATCTCACTTGTAGGAAATCATCTCACAGATAAATTTGTGTATAAAATTATCCATCATAGTGTTACTGGCACCCTGGGTTCTCACGATTTCCCAGGATGGAAATCTAGAGACTAGCCCAAGAGGAACCTGGACGAATAAATGGTGGCATTCAACTATGAAAAATGATGAGGATGTTAAACACCCACTAGAATGGCTAAAATTAAAGAGATTGACAGCACCAAATGTGGGAAGTAGAGGAACTAGAACTCTCATACATTGCTAGTGGGAATGTAAAATGGTACAGCCCCTTTGCAAAAATTAAATTATGTTTTTACCATATGACCTGGCAATTCTACTTGTAGGTATTTGCAGATGAGAAATGAAAACATCTGTCCATACAAAGACTTTTACAGAAATTTTGTAGCAGCTATATTTCGAAGAGCCTCAAACTGGAAAAGAACCCCAATGTCTAACTGGAGACTAGGGAAGTACTTTCCTCTTACCATGCATGGAACTACAAAAGAACAGATTACTGATGCATGAAACAATGTAAATGAATCTCAAAAACAAAAAGAGAGAAGGAAACCAGACACACAAAAATACATGTTTTATGATTCTGTCCTATGAAGTTCTAGAATATGGCAAAACATCTATAGATAAAAAGCAGATCAGTGGTTGCCTGGGGTGGGGAGTAGGAGAGACTGTTGTATGTGGATTGTGGTTTTGATTACACAGGTGTATAAATTTATTAAAACTCATCTAACCGTACATGTTATATAGATGGATTTTATTGTATGCAAATTATACTTTAATAAAGTTGATATTAATACTAATAAAGTAACAATAATAGAGTAATTGTAATAATCATAAGAATAGTGCTAATGAGACCACTCTAAATACACTGATACCAAACGAAGGTTCTTCAAGGTGTATTAAAGTGAAAAAAAATCAAGCTGCAGAAAAACGTTTAGAGAAAAAATGTCTGTATTGTCTCAGCTATGCATGAAATGATCTAAAAGCCTATACAAGAAGCTAGTAATAGTGGCTTTCTTTTGGGGGATGTGGGCTGAGAGGGTGGAGACAGAAGAGTGAAGGATGTTCCCTAAACATCTTACCATACTTTTTGATGTTTGAATCACGCGAACATAGATTTCTCTGGCTACTGGAACTCTTACTAATCGAATTGCCGCATTTTGAATTCTCAAAAACAGGTTTGCTTAAAAGTTAACATCCTTCACTATCGGAATACTTGCTATTCGCTGTTTGAATTGACACAAACAAAGCTTTAAAACAAGAAACACATGTTACCGAGGGCGAAAAGATTCTCCACTTCTGGGAATCTATTGTTTTGTAAAATTTTCCCTGTGGTCATGGCTAGGGACTAAGGGCTGCGCCCGCCTCCGTCCGCGCACGGCTCGGGCCGCCTTGCCTTTGCGCGGCAGAATCCAAAGGACTGCGGCCTCCCCTGGCTCATCCACCCCCACCCCCTACCCC